CTAGAAATGTTGCTACAAAAGTTTTCATAGGAAGTACAAAAGCTGCACCTAATGTAGTTAGCCTAATTTCAGTTCTGGTAAATGGTTTAGCCTAGCCTTCAAATTTTTCATTCCAAAAAAAAGAAGGCTTAGCACACTTTCATATTCTTTTATTCTGTTTCGGTTACCTCTTCTGAAGTTCAATCGTTCTAAATTAGCAAAATTTTTCTTATTTTTGAGTCAAACAAACGTTCATTGTTTGCGTTAACTTCACTTTCAGAAAATGTTACCATGAAGTGTTACCGCACGCGAATAAACGACACCTCGCATGAACAATAAAAGAGTCTATGTAATCTTGAAAGGAGCGAGTTATATTTAAATAATTTTCTCCAAGTTGTGAGTAAGATTTCTTCAATGTAATCGTTATTTGTTGAAACGGCGCAACTAGAGAACAAATGACGAAAAATCCTGAACCTTCTCTGACCTTTCCGTTCATCTGCTTACAGGTTGGATCTTGGCCATCATCTTTTTTGCCTGGGCTTTAGCGATATTTGCTGGTTTGATGTCAGAAATAAAGGCTTTCAAGAAATTTTTAGGTATCATTGTAACAGCAGTATTCTTTTTTGTACCCCTGGCTATTATTCTGGGAGCCTATGGAACCATCTTTCACATAGCCAGAGCGCATGCCCGTGGAGTTGGGAAAAGCTCTTTTAAAAAGGTAATGGGATTTCTGTATTTTATTATTTTTTTATTAAATCAAAAGCGAAGTTGGCTCTGAGCAGCCATATTCCTTTTTGCAGCTTTGATTGAAAAAAACAAAAACTTCGTTTTAGTGCCAAAATGAAAGGGCACGGATTTTATTTTACAGTTTTTAGCGTCAAACCCAAAAATGAACGATATTTTTCGTCGGTTATATGCAATGCCTCAACGTTTAAATTGGGAGAAAAATCTTTTCAAATTTGTAAAGCTTTGTCTATCTTCAAAAAGAAATTGGGTTAAGAAGTGCCTGTGCGTGCTGAATTTCCCACTGCTATTTTTTATTGGTCTTGATTCGTTCTTAATGTTTCACATCACAACTTATTAACAAATACAAAGGGTCGGAGGCTCGTTTTTCTATAGTTTCCTCCCCTTAACAGTATTTGGCCTCTTTTACAGTGTTCAGCTTGGAAAGGTAATTTTTCTCTCTTTAACTCTTAATAGATAGATGTTTTAATTCTTGATAGATAATGAAGAAATAAGTAGTGTGGAACAAATCTTTCAAATGTGCAATTTCGTTTTCCACCACTAAGGGATCGAGTAATTACGTTCAATGGCTGTTACTGCTAAATGATCAAGTCAAATTTGAGAAGGGGTTGCCTCTTCCCCCAGCTCAAAGAAATCAGGGGAGCACTCTCTCCTGAAGTTTTGGAACGGAGGGGACGAATGTACAAAGGGAGCACAATCGAAACTTGTGTGGGATTATCATTCCTGAAATTAAGGAAGAGAGAGAAAAAAAGACAAAGTATTTCTATTTTTTGATCTGCGAAAATGCAGTCCTATGCAACGATTACTCAGTTGCCAGAAAAATTACTTTAACCTGTTGACCTGATGTTTAACCAAACTGTAGAGTAATCTAGAACTGCAATCTTGGTAGCCAAGTAATTTCATTTTGCCTTATTTTTAGGATCTGCGTATCGCTACAACTGTCGCTGTGGTCATCGGCCTTTTTGTCATTTGCTGGACGCCATTTTTCGCGCTCAATTTTGCGTATTCAGTTTGTGGCAACATAATGTTCAAAACAGCTGGATGCAAAGGCCTCCTGGTACTACCACAAATTATTCTAAACATCAATAAATGGTTACAATATGGAAATTCCGTTTGTAACCCCATAATCTATGGTCTACGCAATAAAGACTTCCGACGAGCGTTCCGAAAAATTTTACTGAGTCTTTGCTGCAAAAAGGTCCCGATATCAGACTACAGTAAGAGCGCGTATGGACGCACTGTGCGAAGCACCTATCTTCAGCGCGACTCAAGCATTGAAAACTCACGATCTGTCATCGTACCACCGCACACAAACGGCTCGGGAATGTTTGATACAAGAGGAAGCTACCGTAGAGCGATTCAGAGTGGTCGCACTAAACCTATCAAGCTCAAATTCACAAAGAAGACTCTAACGGATGGTTTGTTGTCGTTAAACGTGGATGCATTCCACAGCCTTTCTTCTGGCGACTTAACTTTGTCTGGCACCCTTTTGAGCACTCCATCAAGTTCCCCAGCTGAGCTTTGTAACCCCGCCTTCGAGGAAGATCAGACTGAAAATGGTATCCTTCCGATTGACCAAGCCATGCCACAACGGGGCTTCGATGAAAAGCTGTCAGGATCGAATCATTCTTTAAATAAAAGTGCTCCAAACGGTACCCTGAAGAATAGAAAAACCCGTGTTCATTTTACACCTTCGGACAGTGATGAAAAGGACGAGGTTGAAAACCAAACCGTGTCTACCCTGGCACCTTTTGAAAGACAACGTTCTCTCTCAGAAATATTCGTTCGACCCAATGGTGAAACAGACAGTCTTAAGCGGAAATTACGGTCATCGTTTTCTTAGTAAGGCTATCAGTGTTGGCTTTAAGAAGCATTTGTTTTAGCCGGCAAACCAGTTGGCCATGATTCATGCTGGTGATTGGCAACAAATTTAGCGGCAATTACTGTGACTGGCGGCTGGAAGTCTAGTTAACTAAGTCTCGGTTTTTGTTCCAGAATACGTTTACAACTATCATGCGTAATCATGAATTCCCAGATGTATATCTAAAAAGGGCTAAGTCCAGGTTTAGCTGAGGACAGTTTTCTGTATATAATCTTCGTGAAGAGCTCACTCCATCTCACAGGATGCAAAGCTGAGACTGGATAAGAGATTGAGCAACAAAATTTGCAATCCCTGAAGATCACTTAGTCCCCGTTCATTGATGAAGTAAGAGATTCTATTATCACGAACTAAACTTTCCATAAAAAGAATAATTTTAAAGAAGCTGTATATAAGAACTGAAAGTTTTGCTTCATGTAGGACTGGAACATGCTCGCTATTATTTTTAGTATTTTTGTTTAAACCCGCCCAGTTCAACCCTTTGTGACTTTGTCTTTCATCAGAGACATAAAGTAAATACACATGTGAAGAATGAGAGCAACTTTCGAACGCTCTCAGCGGTTAGATGTAAATTTTATGATTCTCGACGCGTTTAAGTTTAAGGTTTTATTTGGATGATTTTATTTTGTAGCAAGAGGGCAATAGAACGAATGGATCAGGTAAATGTTGTTATGTGAATATTGATAAGAAATTAACCCTTTAACTCCCATGAGTGACCAAGACAGAATTTCTCCTAACAATGTCAGTACAGTATCAAGCAGAAAAGTTATGAGAATAAAGAAAAATATCAATTAGGGGATTATCGGAACCAACATATAAGAATTGTATGGCAGACAGCGACTGAGAATTTTTAACGAGATCTGGGAGTGAAATTCAAAAATTCCTAATTCACAGAATCAACATCCTAAGAATTGTATGGCAGATAGCGGCTGAGAATTTATAATGAGATCTGGGAGTGAAAAGGTTAAAAACAGTGTTTCTAACACTTAAAAGTAGTTACAGTGTATGAAAGAAAGTAGGCCATTGTACAGGTGCAACTAAAACTTGTAAGTTCCCAATTCTGTAACAAAATTTCGCTCAAGAGAGTCCACGATATATCGCCTTATTTTCGAGTCACTTTTCAACTCTACGAGGTTTGCCATTTTACCATTGTGAATTATAGCCTCTTGGAGTAAAAGATCATCACAAAGAAATATTTATATTACCTTGTTGCAGTCAAGTTTACTCAAGTCTCCATTTGCCACCAAAGACTTTTTGATCACATTTCCCCTTTTATTACCTCACCTTTGACTCTTTCGGATTTCTTTAAACAGTTACACTCAGATAGGGCTCTTTCCTTCCCGAAAGGAATTTCAAAATCTCCTGTCTTGGATTTGAGGGAACCGGAAAAAGCCCCGTAAAAGTTTCCGTAAATCAAGAGTTATGTTCTGCACTTCTGTTTGTTTCTGAGAATATGGAAATTTTCGGATTATTCCTCAGTATGCCGCTAACAAGAGATCTCTTCGTCAACAGTTTCCTGAGCATACTGATAGCTCCCTCCAATTCAGAAACTATATGGCTGTACTTGATACACGGTAAACGGTACCAGAGCTGGTGGTTTTTTTACTTTCGATAACATCAGAGTCATGTTACCCAGACCTGGGTTACATGAATATGCTTCTGTCAACTCTTATCCGAAAATCTTCCTTAAACATTCAAGGAGTTCCAGTTTCTCTTGAAATTCTAATAGTAAATTTTAAGATTGATGATCATTCTGTCAAATTGGGCCTATTATATCAAAACAGACTGATTAGTGATGCAAATCTATTACACTCATGGCTCGTTGAATGCCCAATTGCACGCGTTTTCGAATTTGTGGAACAGTTACATCGACTGTCTTTTGTCCAAGGCCCCATCCACACCAGAGCGTTTTCGATCGAAGACACATCAGTTTTTTTCCGACGCAGTTTTGCCCAGCTGCATCCACAATAGTACTCCTGAAAACGCTTATTTATAAAAAGCAGGACCTTTCGAAAACGGCCTCAGTGAAACGTGATGACAACGGTTGATTTTTAAAAGGTTCCGTTTCTTGAGAGGACAAGTGAAAACGGAGACGAAGAATACTCAACATACTGTGATCTACTGTCGCATATGCATTTACGTCTGTCGGGTGTTAAGTCGTTAAAATTAGACAATCAATCTTGTGTTTGGGGGGGCCCGGGCCCCCCCGGCCCCTCCCCACGCTACGGCATTGTGTTAAGACGATAGACAAAAATGTTTAAAATTTTAATCGTTTTCAAAAGCATACGCAGCAGTTTGTCTCGTGTCAGAAACATAAAAAACGTCAGTACAGTTGAAAATATTTTGCTTCGTTCGTTTTGGGACGAGGAGATGTCCGAAATTGACTCGTCACGTTACGAACTTACTTGGCCCGGTTACTCAGTTATTCCGCAGGAACACCTGAGCTCTTTTGTGCTGAAGCTGTTAGATTGTTATCTCAGTAAATAAGGGTCATTATGTCTGGCGTCAAACCTTTGCCTTCGGCTGTATTATTATATAGTGAAAGCGTCATCTTATGCACTAACGATTGTTCCTCTGAATGTAGAGACGACAGGTCCGCCATGTGGTGCCGACACTGGCGGTTCATCTTCATTTTATGATCAGAGAGAGCCGGCTGTTGGTGTGGTGTCATTTGGACATATTGCAGTCGGTTATTAACTTCAATCCGAGCCAAAAAAAAAAAGCAAACATGGTGTGCTTTTAAAGGCATTTAGATGTGCCTTGGTCTTTGTCTGCAACGCTCCCTCCAGCTGCAATCTTTAGTAATTGTTTTGGAATCTAATTGAGAGCACGTCTTGTCGATTGAAGCAAAGTTGTCGGTATCCATCGCTGTGGGAGCCTTGCTCTGTCAAATATTTTATTTTGGAATTACCTTCACGCCTGCTCGGCCGTCAGTATGATTCGGTCATGTGTAAATTTATTTTTTACTTCAGTGGTCGACATATATCGCTGGTAAAAGAGAGTTTTATCTTCGTTACATTCAAAGGTAAATATTGATGCTCATTGTTACGTTAAAGTCTAGTTTTACAATGGTGAAGCCTTGTTTACATTCGCTTTCATTTGCATTGTTTATATCATGTGCTAACTTTTAGCAATTTATGTAGAAATAGCTTAAGTTTTTCGTTGTTTTTCATCGGCGCAAGTTTCATATTTTGCACATGTTTACAGATCTAACAAATATTCTATCGGGTATTGCGAAACAACACTTGTTCTGCGCGCAATAAATCTCTGCTTTACCACAAATTTCCATATCCATTGTCTAACAAATGTTTTGGTTAAATGATATTCCAAATTTTCCATTGTTGTGGATGTGAATGTTTTTGTAGCCTTTTGGTCTACTGTTTTAGAGACAAAATGAGTTCATACTCGTTAGACTTTTTTCAGTCCTGAACTTTGGCAGGTGACCGACAGTTATAAATATTTAATGTTTGTTAAAAACATATCTAATCCTTGCATTCTTATTCCCAGTTTTGATAGATTAGTCAGTTTAGCTAAATAAACAACAACAAAAAACGAAAAAAATAAAAACAACAAAAAAATAATTATTCTCAAAAATAAAAATAAAACAAAATTGATTGAGCAAGCTTTAGTTCAAGGATAGCCCAAATGCCAAGTTGGCAGGCCTAGTTACTTGCGCAAGAATCTTTGCATTTGTCTTCCAAACATTTCCAATTTGCCTGGCATACACAATTCCTTTTCAAGATCGAGTCTTAGATTTGAAATGAAGAATGTGAATTCAGTTAGATATTCATATTTTGCTCATCCAATTGGGTGTTATTATTTTTAACAAACCTGGGTGAGTGGTGATTCATACCCTTCCTTATATTGTTTGGCAGAGGTGACAACAATGAGTTGCTTCAATACATAAGCACTTGAACAAACCTTCAATTTACAGGCTAAGGAATTGTACATTTCCATGGAAATACATGCGGTTAACTCTGAATTAAAGCTGGATTAATATATTTTTTCCCTGGTTGTAGGGTTGGAATCAAGATATTTCAGTGTAAGATTTATATTTTAGACCCTGTGAATTGGGTGTCTAGAGACTTCATCTCCAAAAACTACATGGAACACAGTCATTTTTGCAGATGAGATGCTTGTTTTAAGAATTACTTATGCTTTACTCTTCATTACATTCAACTTGGCCAACAATGGAGTGTCAGGTAAAAATGCAATATTTATGTATTTGTATAGATAAAAACACGAGTTTGAGTGTAATTTGGTGTTAATAAGCACAAGTACATTTTTGGAAGACAACAAAATTGCATGAGCCCATTGGAAGAGAACAATTTGTAGTCTTTGAAAAATTCACCAGTGCTTAAATGTATTTACAGGAAATTACATGAGAAATCATGTTATTACTTATTAACAATTTATATTAAGAAAGCATCAGAAAAAGTCAAGACAGGCAAAGTTTTAACAGTGTGCATGCTATTTGTAATATGGCTCTGTGTGACAATTTTGCACTTGTTTTACAATTTTGCACTCCTGTTGCATGAAAAATGCACTTGTTTTCAACCAATCAGAAGCAGCCACCAAATAATGACTAAAGAAACGTTGAGCTTTGAGCCTTGATAAACTTCATAGTATGACATTTCCCTTTAAAATACAGAACTATCCCAAAAGGAAAATAATTAGCAGGCCCCTGAATTTTCTTTTAGCATTGTTAATTGTTATTTAACAGGTCTTAAATGTAATTGTATTGCTTTATAACCAATGCTTTTATTTTCCTAGACCCCTCAGCTCCACACTTCATCAGAGAGTCAGTGTATCATACTATGACCATGTATGCCAAGGTTGGAGATGATGTTGAACTTGATTGTTTGTCAGATGGCAATCCACATCCAGATATATCCTGGTACAAATACAATGTTCCCCTTTTGGAGATAACTTATCGCAAATTAGAGGACACATTTATAAAGTCTGGGAAGTTGCTTTTAAGTGACCTTCTGCTTGCAGATGCGGGAAACTATTCTTGCCATGTGAATAATTCCTTGGGCCTGATTAATAGGACATTCATACTACGCATTTATGGTGAGTTAGAGTATAATACAGTTAAAAGTTATGGAAGCTGAATTTCATTTCTTTGCAGTTTTGTTGTTTTTCTTCAAACACTTTGGCAAGATGCATCACTTTTCAGTTCAGTCAGAGTGTTGTAAGATGCAAAGGGAAAGAGGGAGCCAGGTTTACATTACTCATATGGAAACCACTGGATAAATTCTGACTGATCTTTTACAGTCTTTAATTGTGAGAAATAATTTCAAAATTATGATTGTGGATATATCAAAATCATATATGTGCACTGCAGTGAACAAATGAATATGAGATCCTTGCAGCTATGAACACTACTGAACTAGTAGTTAATATAAGACCTAAAAAAATTTTTTTCAGGCCCGATACCGGTGCAGCGCTCTACCAACTGAGCTAACAAGCCAACTGGGAGCTGGTCATTATGTTGGGTCCAAATAAACCATCCAAGTGATGAATAATGATTGTGAATATATGAAAATTTCATATTCGTTTCTTCACTGCAGTGCACATATATGATTTTCATATATCCACTATCATTATTCATCATTTGGATGGTTTATTTGGACCCAACATAATGACCAGCTCCCAGTTGGCTTGTCAGCTCAGTTGGTAGAGTGCTGCACCAGTATTGCAGAGGTTATGGGTTCAAATCCTGTATGGGCCTGAAAATTTTTTTCAGGTATTATTTCAACTACTAGTTCAGTAGTGGTCATACCTGTGAGGATCTAGTTTGAAAATTGTAACTGCTTGTGAATTCCACTGATTTGTTTGTTTTTGCTCTATTTTTTGTTGTCTTGTTTTTTTTTGTTTTTGTTTGTTTGTTGTTTATTTTCTTTTTTTTGGAGGGGAGGGGGGAGGGTGCCAGAGCTGCTGCCTGACCTAGCTACTCCAGGTGCTGGCAAATTAAATTTTTCTTCTCACGTTTTTCTTTAATTTTCAATGTTTAATTCAGGATCTTAGTCCTGCTACCAATAACGTTTTACCGATACCGCGCAGAATGGCATTATCAACATTTTAACGTCTTATCAACGTTTTAACGTCTCTCTTAAATAGAATCTTCAAATGGCAAACCTATTATCCTCAAGTCACTACTGACGAACAACACAGCAGTGCTAGGAGGCGAAGCAAGATTCCTTTGTCAAGTGACCAGTGACTCAGTTACGTATGTCAGATGGCACTTCAAGAGACATCATGCAAAAAGCAATGCTTTTGACAATAAAACAACAACTATTATTGAGATAACCAGCATTGCACCAGTTAAAATTTTGACTACCTTGGGCCCGAATACATTAAATGGTGACCTTTTCAAAGTGAATGCAGAGGTTTTTGTTCAGAATGTATCATTTCATGATGAAGGCGAATATATTTGTGAGGCATTCAATCAACATGGTAGAGTGAGTTGGAGTGCATTCTTAATAGCAGTCAAAGGTACCTTTTTTTCTTATTTTTTATTTTATTTTAAGAGTATTCCTCAAAAGCAGAGAACTGCTGTCGTTGACAATGATTAACGTTTCGACAACTTAAGAAGGTCGTGACTCCGATGGTGTCTCGAAACGTCCGTCACTATCATCGACAACAGTTCCTTTCAGAGCTACTGTCACTCAAGCGATCAACAGTAAATGAAACCAGTGAAACAAGTCATTGGTTATAAGGTATGACTTTTTAGAATGGGAATCTGTTGAGGGGCGGATTCCAGCCTTTTTGCAAAGGTGATTGCGAAACGCTACAAGTAATAAATCTTGTGACAAGAAAGTCGATTGGCCAAAACCCAATAAGTTAAGGACTTTCTTTATGCTGACTATCAGCTGCGCGACGGTCGACGTTGAGAAAAAGGGAGCGCCCTTAAACTAACCAAAATTTTTGTGGTTATTCATGAAGGTCCTACTCCATCAGCTACAGATCTAGAGACCAGATATGAGGCTCTGTTTGGACGCACGCAAGAGTTTCCCTTGGCTGTTATTGTAGCTATACCAGTAGCCATCTTAGTTATTTTGACAGCCTTGTTTATTAGAGCACTCGAGCGGGCCAAGCAAAGACATAGTGAGAGACAAATCAAGAGGACAGATGTTAATAGAAACGTAAGCGTCACAAGTGAGCCTTGGAACCAAAAGAAAACGGCAAAACAGGTAACAACGATTCTTTGTTAGCATCGATAAAGAAGTACGACGTGTATGTGAATGTATTACACAACTGTTTCTCTCGAGGGATAGTCGAGTAGCTCTCAGTATCAAAACGTAGTGTTCTCCTTTTCAGGCGATAGCCGGTAAAATGTACCGCCTGTAGTACCTCTCATTATCGCCGGAATCTCTTGGAATTCTTGAAAGTTCAACTTGTAAAATGATCGCTCTACCGGTTTGCAAATTTCTCTTACCTGTCGCGCTTAAACAGGGAAGAACACGCAACGACGGTGTGATGCCGCTAAATATTCGCCATGCTTAAAAAGCAAAGTTTCCATGTGCTATCTATTTGCGGAGCCTAAAACGTGAAGCTATTGAGGTACATGTTGGTGTCAAACAGGAATTTCCGTTGGTTCTGATCAGTTAGTTCTGGAGTTTAATTCAAGTGCATTCGAGTTCTTTTTGTTGTTCCGTAGTGAAATAGGAATGTCACAGGAGAGATTGGAACATGGATGATCAAGGGCAACTGGGCGGACAAAATGCGATGTTTGTTTTTTCCCACACAAAAGATGTCCCTGCTCTTTTGCGAATTCTCACTAAACTTCCCTTGAAGGTTTCTTTCCCGCGCTCAGAAATTCCTGGCTGGCCAAATCTCCCTTCTATCTTACAATCGAAGAAGTCTTGATCACGTTATCTTTCCGCGAGAAATGCGTTCTCAGGAACCATTTAAAACAACTGTGGCTGGCTTTATCGCCATTTCTAGTACTTTTGTTATCCAGATGTTGGATTTCTCGATTCAGAGTTGTTCTCTACCTCAATCTAATACTTAACTCTTTCATAATTAACTCCCTGAAGTGATAAACATGTAACTTCTCCCGGTATATCCATACATAATCTGGTAAACAGGTAATGAGAATACTCAAACTTATCGGGTGGAAGTTGTTATCTTGATCTAACGCCAAATTGTTGTAGCTGATATACATGGAAAAGTATAGCAACAAGAGTGGAGAACTAATAAGCAGATCCTACGAGTTAAAAGGTTAAAAGTCTACTTAGAAAGGATATGACTGTAAGTGGGTTTACTTGTTCTTTTGGGCTTAGCTCTTAATCAGTGACTCCCCTCCATTGACTCTAGACCTTTCAGTTTATGAGATAAACCTGTAATAAATAAATGGAAAGGTATTTGTACAAAGCAATCCGAGTTGACGGGAAAAAAAAAGCAAATCACAGTTTAAGCAAGTTTCAGCACACTCTCGGTAATCCTAATTTTTTTTTACTCATTTTTAGAAAACTGTAAAAGAAATTATCATAACTGCGCCTCGTCAAACTCCAATTTACACGCGGAAACCCAGCGAAGGTAAAACTGGTCAGCAAATTACCCAGTTACCCAAAGATATGACAAGCCTTGAGGCATGCTCGGTTCGACGACCTGTTTCCTCTCAAGCCAGTGATGTAAGCAGTGAGCGATGCAGTGATGCGCTGGAACTTGAGTGGGAAGGGATTGAATTGGTCATGGAGGAGGGGTTTGAAATGATTAAATTATGCAAAGAGGAAGAAGTGTAAACACATGTGATCCATGTGAAAGAGAATCGACTGAGAAAAAAGAAACATTGGTCAGATATACTAGATAGCGGCCAGTTGTTGTCTTCATCAGCAGATTTTTGTGAGTATCTGTGGTGTGCTCTGAGGATGGCGCGTTCTTTCAAAATTTGAACTATTTTGAAACCAGTACAACTTGTAAGTTTTCTTTCAGTAATTGGGGTATACCCAAATGTGACACATGTTGTGTCATGAATAGCTTAAGTATCCCAAACTCCATATCAGTGTTCCGTGGTTTTGCAAGTTTACAAGTTCCGACTGTGATACTGCGGTACAGTGCTGAAAAGAGATTGCACAGAGAACAAGGAGCTGATCAAGTAGAAAATAAAACTGTACAAAATGATCAATATTTGACTTAGCAGGCCAATGCAGTTGCACAGATCTTTTTTGCGTCCTGTAGAAAATGATAATTGCTTATTGTCGCCAGAACCCCATTAATTTTCCGGCTTGCGATCTTCCTCGAGCGCCCGAAAAGTAATAAATTGATAATGATAATAATGGATTCGCACATATAGATATAATCGTGTGGATCACAAATCATGAAAGAGCGAAGTTGTGATCGCCACAAGAGTGAATTAGTCTCTGAAACGCACGTGTTGTGCACACGAGTAGCCACTTGGAAAATGTCTTAAACAGTATTAAAAAACTGCTCGAACGCACAGAAGAACTTACGATCGAGATCTGACCAAACAGCAGGATCAGCCAAAGAGGTTAAAGAGCGGGTTTTGTATTACTAACTGGCCAGCGGTGTCACATCGAGTCTTTGTACCATCTTTCTGGACACAACAGCTTGTCACTAGAAACGTTTATTGCGTGTGTTGTTGAGTTTTCAGTGTTCTCTGGTAAAACTTTACGGGTAAACAAATGTGTCACTTTTTCTGCAGCAACAGCAGAGCCCCATCGCATCTTTAATTTTTATCGAATTGGACGTAAAGTTGGATGTAATATTAGCTTAAAACCAAAATTAGTTTTCAAGTATCCAAAAGTGACTCATTTCTTCAGCTCTTGGAATAATTATCGTATTGTAGACGATGCAGAACAAACGCTCATACTGAATCAAGTGCAGATTACTAACATCAATTAAAAGTTTTCGCATTGAGTTTAGTCTCATTCTCTCTTTGAAAAGTTGTCGTAAAACTAAACCTGCAGTTGAGCGCAAAGAGAAGCGAAGGCCGTTCCCGTTCGTTAGACTTCTCAAAATACATCAAAACTCGTTCTGTCGTCCTTTTTTACCTATTTGCCTCATTTAATAAACTTCCTGGTTTGTCTAGAACTACCTTTCTTTTCATTTGCGTGTCTATTTCTCTGCCAAGTGAAAGTCGAAGTAAAATGACTTCGGCAAACTCGTCACAGTGGATTCACTGCTTAAAAGCAGAGAGTTGCTCTGCTTCAAAGAATACTATGGAACACTTTCGTTATGTTTACCTTTTTTCTGGAAAAGGAAACTGATATCCTTTGTTGAGGTAGTAGCTGATGTCAGCGAAGGTCATCGTTAATTGAAATTCCATTTCTTTTTCTTACGTTTGTTGAAATTGTGAAGTTAGTGTGTAATATGTTATTTTGTAGTTTTGTCTGTAAGTCAGCTCGAGAAGGGCCTCTTAAGCATTGAAACGTATTTTGATCGTGTTTTTTGTTCGCTAGGCCGTCCACACGTACTGCAGTTGTAGTTTTAGTCATTTATTGCGCCATCCGTTAGTTTTCTCTTACAAGTCGTCGAGTATGTAATCCTTTATAAATGAAAACCTTTGCCAAGTTCGGTAGGAATTCAATCCATCAACGAGCAGTGTAAGTTGAGTCCGAGGACACCATTATTTTAAAAAATGGATAAGGAAATTGTCTGCCAGTGACTCGGCAGGCTCAAAATTCTTATACCAAACGAAAGGCAGCTAAAACGGCTCAGATATCATATCATCGCGACTTGTTCTTCTCAACGACGTCTGTCCTTTTCAGCCAGTGATGTAAGCAGTAAGAGACGCAGTGAGGCGTTGGAAGTTATGCGGGAAGAAATAAACTGGTTATGAAGAAGATTTGAAATTATTGAACTGTGTAAAGAAGAGAACTCTCTCGACACGTGCGATTCATGTGAGAGTTGAGTAAGAAAGACAGAAAATTAGTTATTTGTAGCAGATGGTGGCGAACTCTCGGGCTTGTTCGCAATTGTGGGCTTTATCAGTTGTTTTGATTGCCTGAGTTAAGCATTCAGCAGTATGAGGGTACGTTCTTACATCAAGCTCTGCGGCTGTTCAGACAGGAGTTGTTTTTTTTTTTGTCTTTGTAAAGTATACTCGAGAATTGAAGAATTCGTTTAGGTTCGTGTGTAATCAGTTGTGTAATTATTCCGAACTACGTGTGTTTCGCGGTACTTCAAGTTCCGGTAGTGATTCACATCTAACAAATTGACCTTTATTCTTGATAAAGCACGGATTTCACATTTCTTAATTCTTTGCATCTAATCATTAAACATACTTGCTATATTGTAAAATATAATTAATCTAGATTTCAATTGAATTTAAAAGTTAAAGATATATCTTATAGTGGCCAGCACTAAGGTTTAATGGCACTGCTGACTAATTGAACCAAATAGAGGTTTGCCCTGTTTTATCATAACTTGTAGCTGTGTACCAGCCATGATGTGTGTAGTGAGGGGAGCCTCCCTTCACGTCAGGCTCGTAATTAGTTGGGGTGCAACTACTACACAGACTGCGACCCGAGCCCGAGTGGACACTGGGGAAAAAGGGACCCTTGTTAAAGACTGAAAAATATCCCGTTTTGTCGTTAAATCCGTACCCTGTGGGATATGAGTCGCTCCATGTCACCCCCAGGGCTTCCCCTAAAGCATGTCTAACATAAGTTCCACTCTCGCCTTTCAACGCTTCAACAATAAAATCTTGGACATGCATGCGACCCGGTTGTCCGCCATTAAAGCGGTTATGATTTGCAAAGGTTATGGTGTAAGGATTATCCGTAATGTTGATGCGATAGACATATGAATATTGATCAATACAATACGAGCATTATTGGCCATTTTTACAGCGCCGTGGGGCAGATTAATCAGACCATTTGAGGAGCTGCGTTGAGTGGGAAGCCAGGCATAACCATTTGGGTTATTCATATTGGGTATGGCCTTATTGTTGGCATTTATTGACGTTGCGTGAACGTAACCATAACTAGCTAACATCCACGCTCCTCCAGCGAAAGTCATGTCACAATAGGTTTGAGCCGGGGCTGTTTCACCAGGGGGCTGGATCCAATACATTCCGCTTCCGTGACTATCGCCTGCGTCGAGAATTGCTTGTGCGTTTGGTGCTGGATTTTCTCTAGTTCCCAGTCTTTTTCTCACCGTGCACTGAGGTCCAGAGTAGGCCGGTGGGCACTTACAGAGGTTTTCGCCGATGCACGTACCACCGTTTTCACATGGCTTCCCTGTACATTTACCTTAAAAGGAAATTGAGATTATTTAGACTTAGCAAAGCCTTCGTCGTCAAACATAAATTAGATGGTAGATACCGTCGGACCTCGATTTTCAGCTACTCGCTGGTGTATTTGCTACAGCCCATACAGCCTGGAGTATGCGTTATTATGGCCCACGCTATTCTTTTAATCTTGTTTTATTTTTACTCAATGTCAAACAAAACTCACTTTTGTGACAAAAGGCTCCGGTGTATCCCGACGGGCATGCGCACCAATGAACTTTTGGTCCAGTGCACTTGCCTCCATTGCGGCAGTGCGCATCTTTGCAACCTAGGAGTTTGAGGTTTCACATATCTTTAATGTTTGATCTCTTCATTATTTCTTAATAACCATGCGCTGAGAACAAGCATGAGCTTCAAAGCTCCTGTGAACTATGCAGAATAGCGGTTATTCTTTACTTTGTCACAAGTTCCAAGATTTTGAAAGACGATGTATTGGCTTTTAGGGCTGACAAGGAAGCATATGAAGATCTCATTGATCTGAGTTTTTTTCTTTATTAGAGGCACCATAAAGATGTTTTTGTAGATCTTTCAGTTTAAATTCGTCCCGCGATTGAGAAGAAATTAGCTAATTAGGAACGTGCTGCGCGATCTCTTAGAGTGCAGTTCCGTCTTGTTGTTAGATGATTGATGCAGAATTATATTCAGAGTTTTAAGACCTTTGTACCTTGACATCCCTCGCTTTTCCAGTGCTTTATTAGAGAAGCCTTGAGTTCTTCACATCTCGTAACTGTGGTATTGAGGTCACAATTAATCATCTTCGGAAAACGTGTACAGCTCTCCACTTCCTTTTCCGTTTTGTCATAACAAGCAAGGCAAGATACTGTAATTGAGTAGTAGAGGCAAAGAGAAAGGAATGTCTTTGTGAGCGGGATGCCTGCGAAATGTTTTGGGGAACAATGTCTAGGGAAAGGAAGATTGCGAGGATTATCAAAGCATTCTGGTTTTAAAAAAATACCAAAGATACTGGGGCTTTAAGTAAGTTATTTGGAAATACTGATTCAGATTGGTATAAACCTCACAAGTGAGTGGTGATCGCGCAGTCTGATTGCCCGGTTGTGGGTAGTTCTGAGAAGTACTGTTGTTGGTAGTGCTCACACAAAGGGGATGTTCCGACCATGATTTCATATGACCGCATACTGTCAGAAACATTCATTATTGTAATGTTCTTTTTTGTCTGTTTGTTACTCAGCTTATATGGTATGTGCTACTCTTAATAAAATATTGACCTTGATGTCGGTGAAAGCTGTGGATATTTCCCTCTATAATCTAAATGATTGTCACAGTCCTCGAGAGACTGTCCTCAGAGTTCGATAATTACTACCATTCAAAGTTATCTAGTCTCCCGGATTGCACTGATTGCGATCTGCATGTCACGCTAAAACGTATTTTCATGTATAGCACAACTGTCAATGTTTTCAGGGTTGTGGCTTACCTTTAGCGTTGTTATCGGAGCAAATGTTTTCCAACTTTTCTTCTAAGTGATCGCAAATCTGTTTCACGTCAATAGACTGTGAATTCTTTGAATCTCTTCGGCACTTTTCTACCAACACGTTTGCTTCTTTTACGCAGACCTCGTAAGATTTGTACTGAATTCAATGAGTAGACGAGACAAAAAGCCGTATAAAAATACAAATGTACACTGTCTTTGGACTGTAATCGTACGAGATGTTAGTGAGTAATTTCAGTAATTTGTTATTCTCTTGGATTTTACGAAACTCGTGAAACATGTCTCAAAGTAATACTTCAGTTTAACTGACTACAGAGGCAACTTTAGGTCACTCAGACCGAACCGGTTTCCGATTCAAAATAACTAATTCAGACGCAGTTGCATTGTTATATGAGGTGTGTTTTGGTCGAATTTACAGCAACCAATTGAGGTTTTATTTAATAGCTCGCTCGTGAAAGTAGCTTTAGTTCCTCAGTGGTCAATGATTAAGTCATTCATTTGTACGGGTAATCACATGATTTCGAGTACAATTTGGGATGAATCAGCACGAGCAAATTTTCAAAGGCACACCAATATGTATTCTTTGAAAAATCTACGAGTGCTTATTTATCCACACGGTCGGCCCAAGCTCACGTCTCGAAAAAAAAGCCAGCGATTAATTCATGAAAGCGTCACGCGTTGTGTGACTTGGTGTTAAGTTACGAGAGGAACCGTTGAGAATTTGAACACGTTATAAGGATTAATATGAGGAAAGAGATATGGTCGATTTACAACAATAAGTATTTCGAAGTGTTAAAATTTTACACCAAAATCAATAGCACTTACTCACGTCCTGTGTGCCCGCTGTAGTCTTTGGCGATTTCTGCCGGTTTAAAGCTTGCTTTACCATTACAGTTATTCCTGTCAAGACGAAGTCATTGACTTCGTCTTTTGACAGGAATAGGGCAGGAACAGGGCCGCTTGTGATTGCACGAGAAAAATTCATGTGATTTCGCGACTTTCCAGCATCTCAATCAGTCAATCAATTTCATTTCAACTTTTTGCGCTCAATTTCAACTTTTTGCTCTGTGTGGTGGTGGATTGAGGTGTTCTCAGCCAATGAGTGCTGAAATTTTTGCAAGCAGATTATATTTAAAGTGAAATAAAATGGTTAATAAAACCTACCTCTGTGCAGTACTCCTTGACAGTACTGAGCGCCAACTGTGATCGGTTGTTTAGTGGAAGAACAAACTTAGCAAAACAGGGGCTCAAGGCGAGCCAGTAGCAGAAAGCTAAGGCTGAAAACTTTCCCATTAGAAATTATCTCCTTCCACCTTGAACAGCTATCGTGAGTGTTGTAAAGCGAAACTCTTTGTTGTTTGGTATGCTTCTCAGCGACACCAGAACTCGATCTGTCATTTTGTCGTGCTTTTCAGTGTCGTGTTTGATATACTTCCGCATACAAGTAAGACGTGACCGCCTTTCCGCCAAATTTCTAATTTTTTACTTCCTCTTCCTCATCTTTAGTCTTCTCGCCCAGCTGATTCACTTCTACATTCTTACCCGTGAATGAGACAGTATGTTCAAACTTAAAGATGAGGAAGCAGGAATATTTATGACATGGAGTCGGTTGCTTGTTTCCTCTTTCCTGTCTGTTGGTTTAATCGAACCTCCTTGTGTCAGTTTTATACGATCACGCATAGATGACTGGGATAATCTGTGTTCGCTGAAGATTCAGATTTATTATTCTCTGTCATGTGAACACATTGATAGTTCGGAACAGATAGGTGGAACAGACTACAATCGTTGTGACAGAACTGAGGTGCATACGGACAATCGGAGTGGTTTTGACGAAATTGCATGTGAATATATGAAAATCTTTCTCACACAATCGGAACGCTTAAAATCTGTGCCAACATTAATCAGTTTCCCAGAATGAACCATTATGAGAAAAGCGACCAAGGTGGACTTCCAATAACGTGGGAAAAGGCATGGATTCAGGGAATGAACCAAGGATTCGTTCAGGTTATAACATTTTTTTGTTGCGTTTGATAAGTAAGATCTCCATGGATACTTGTAATTCTTTATAAAACAAATGTTTAAAACTAACGGTGTACCCAGTCTTTGTGAACTATGAAAACAACGCCATCGACTAATTCAAATAAAACTTAATGCAGAGTGCTAATCCTTCACTTAAACCAAACAGATGTTTGCCCTGTCTTACCAAAACCTGTAGCTGTGTACCAGCCACGATGTGTGTAGTGAGGGGAGCCTCCCTTAACGTCAGGCTCGTAATCAGTTGGGGTGCATCCACTACACGGACTGCGTCCCGAGCCCGAGTGGACACTGGGGAAAAAGGGACCCTTGTTAAAGCCTGAAGAATATCCCGTTTTGTCGTTAAACCCGTACCCAGTGGGATATGAGTCGCTCCATGTCACCCCCAGGGCCTCCCCTAAAGCATGTCTAACATAACTTCCACTCTCGCCTTTCAACGCTTCAACAATAAAATCTTGGACATGCATGCGACCCGGTTGTCCGCCATTAAAGCGGTTATGATTTGCAAAGGTTATGGTGTAAGGATTATCCGTAATGTTGATGCGATAGACGTATGAATATTGATCAATACCGCCTGTGGCTGGGTTGTTACCTGCAGCCATGATCATAGAACGAGCTTTATTGGCCATTTTTACAGCGCCGTGGGGCAGATTAATCAGACCATTTGAGGAGCTGCGTTGAGTGGGAAGCCAGGCATAACCATTTGGGTTATTCATATTGGGTATGGCCTTATTGTTGGCATTTATTGACGTTGCGTGAACGTAACCATAACTAGCTAACATCCACGCTCCTCCAGCGAAAGTCATGTCACAATAGGTTTGAGCCGGGGCTGTTTCACCAGGGGGCTGGATCCAATACATTCCGCTTCCGTGACTATCGCCTGCGTCGAGAATTGCTTGTGCATTTGGTGCTGGATTTTCTCTAGTTCCCAGTCTTTTTTTTCTCACTGTGCATTGAGGGCCAGAGTAGTGAGGTAGGCACTTACAGAGGTTCTCGCCAACGCACGTACCACCGTTTTTACATGGCTTGCTTGCGCATTTACCTGTAGAGAAATTTTAACGACAGGTTTTGTCGAACAAAATCATGGTACATGTACTGAAACTGCAATAAGCGTGTAAGTCTCCTGGCCTTTAATAACAACACCACAAACCAAATTCGAATGAAGATTTATTGTAGCCGACGTGCTTGGTACTAAGAGTGTGCATACAAACAGCGTGGATTGAAAATTGTTTCGGCCAGAGAAAACTGCTGTAAAGCGGACTGCGAATAACGCGAAGAGACTTGCAAGAAACTAAACAGAACTGCGCTAAGCGCGGACCAAAATGAACTGCCCAAAACTGTACTGCAAAACTACGATATGAAATATACGCTAGAACATGCGGAAAATAAAACTATAGAAATTTAGAAAGGCGCTAATGAAGATGAAACAGCACAGAAACGCTAACGAGGGCGCGAAAACTGACAGAAAGGAATAAACACCTAAATTAACGCCAAAAAAAAAAGACTAAACAAATGGACGAAAAGAAGTATAAACTAATTTGCGTACGCAAAGGAAAAACAAATTACGCAAGAACGAATAATAGAAAAAATGTTACACTTGGATCTTACATGTACTTTGTTTGGTACTATTACTAACTAAAAGTCCTAAATAAGCAATTTTGGAGAGGTAGCTTCCAAGTGATTGGGGAAAGATCCAATCTATCGGTCATTTGACTCACAAAGAATGACTCAAACTTTTTCGAGATTATCGAGCAAATGATGTCTTCAAATCTGATAATATAATATAGAAAAGGAGCAGAAAATTTGGCTGAACTTGCATAAAGGGGTAAGTTTCTCAAGAAACTGTAATGATGCGTCGGTGGGAGAGTATAACAGGGTATTTTAGTGTTAACAACTGAGTTGATTACGTAAATTAGCCACCGTAAAAAGTTTTAAAAGCTAACTCGAGCGTTGGTCCCTCGTCAGAGCGATTAGAGGAGTTGTGGGTCGTGTGTATGTTTACATGCAGAAAATGGAGCTACGGTGATGGTGGGAACATGTTGACGAGAAAACAAGAATAACTTAATTGAATGAAAAGCGCTCGTTGATACCGTGAGGATTAAGAGTGCCAACTTGAAGGATAAAATTTTTGCTCTAGAGTTTTGCGGCTTTCCGAACTGCTTTTAGATGTAGAGAAATGCAGTAAACTGTTATGTGCTGCTTACAATTATTTGGGAAATTGAAGTGTCTAGCGACTGGTTTGGATTCCTTTCTACGTCGCGAAGGTGTTCTCGGAATGGATCTCCTCGTCGTCTTCCTGTTTTCACCAATGTATAACTTTTTGCAACAAGTGCAAGTTATGCAGTAGATGACATTGGCGGAGGTGCACGTGAAGTGGCCAGTGATCTTATGGATCTCTTGGGTCCCGACATTTTCTCTACGTTGTGAACGAAAGGACAAGTTCTTTATGGGCCCCCCTCCACTGATATCTCTTTTATCTTGAAGTTATTGCCGTCATTGGTAAAATGAGTACATAATTCTCAAAACGTTTCATAATCAAAAGAATTTTGAATGACACTAAGTTACACTTACTTTTTTGACAGAAAGCTCCACTGTATCCTGCTGGGCATTGGCACCAAGGTGAACCGAGTCCAGCACAATTGCCTCCGTTGCGACAATACAGATCTTTGCACACTATATGTAAAACCAAGCATATCTCATGTAAGTTCTTACAATATTAGCTCTTGATTTTGATTGTTGACTATTGATATACCCTGTATGTGGAACAGTTGACCCCTGCATTTTGTCATTTATTTTCTACAGAAAATCCGGGGATACCTTTACTAAATCTTTCCCTTTGTCTTACGGGTGATTGTTAGAAGTTTTTTCAACGTATTTCAAACATGATATAAAGTTGAATTAAAAGAACATGCCTTTGATAGTATTTTTATAAAGTGAAGAAAAAGATTGGACCAATCAATATAAATCTGATGATCATTAGTCAGTTACGTGACACTAATTTGCTTTTCATAAACATGTCTGGCCAAATTAAATCTATTCTAAGAAATTCAAGGATCAGATCTCCTAGAATTCATAGCACTGCATGACTGGTACTCCTGTTCATTGAAAAAAATAGCTTTGAGTAGTTTTTTTCTTTTTTAACATGTCATGCTGTCTCTCACTTCAGCTATTGATGCAGCTACTAAGTAAAAGTAGTTTTGTTTCACTCACCTGGACATTCCTTACTGCTGCAGTACTTGCTGAGTGAAGCCTTTGCTTCCTCACATTCTTGGACCTTGAGGTCACAGTTAACCTTCTTGGAAAACAATTTGCAGTTTTCTACTACTCTTTCCATTTTTTCGAAGCAATTTACACACGATGCTTCAAATGATAAATGAAAAAACAGTTCTATTAGACCATGTGATATCTAAACGGATCAATTATTTACAAACTGACAACGAATGCAAAACATAATGAACCTCCCCTACAAGTTCTTATAATCAAATATGAGAAAAATACGATCGGTTGGGTACTTTTTGACAACTTAGTCTCCCGGATTGCAAGAGTTTGTATACAACAATTTTCAGCCTTTTATTTTATTTATAGTTCTCCAGTTAATAGCTATTTTACTTAATTGGACCGGACAACGGAATTTCCGCAACTCGTGAATGAAAATCGTGCGTGCGCATTTTCCATAGAGTAATCTCTACATCTTTTCAGAACATGTCTATTGGGCGCATTTCGAGCGGTTTTTTACGGAGCGGTTATAATTGCATCTAACATCAACTTTTAGTCTAACCTTTCGCGCAGTGAATGGAACACAGACGCTTCAGTTTTTCTTGGTGTCCATCGCAAACTTCATTAATGTCAGCCTTGAGATAAGATACATTTGACATCCGGCATTTAGCGCCCGCCTCATAAGCCTCCTTCACACAATCTTCGTAACTCAAGTACTGAAATATGGAAATTACAAACGTTGATGGACGAAATTTAACCCATCCATTCTTGTGTCCGATAACAGATTCTGTGTTTACTCGTATCTAGAACAGTGTTTATGCATCTTGGTTCGAGTTAAGAATCTTGATTGAGTCGTTTCAACCCTTTTCAATCCCTCAAATTTGCGAAATTTTCCCTCAATTCTTTTCCATTGCACTGTAAAATGTGTTGGTCGGTTCGGTCTTCAGTAAACTGCGCGAAAAGAAGACATACTACTAACCTCTTGACACTTATCCGTTTGTCCGTTTGACGTAGGAGCAAGGCAAAAGCTCAAAGGGATGCAGCAACAGATCAATAAGGCTGCATAAAGTTGCATCTTTGCGCGCGTCCACCAACTTACTCCAAACTGAAAATATACCGAGTTGGTATGAGGACCCTGCCTTTTATAGAGCAACTTAAGGTTCTGAACGTGCAAACAGGCACGTATCAGATGCCGTTTTATCGCCCTCCTGTAGAGGGTTTAAGCTTAAGCGTAAAACGATCCGGAAATGTGCGGATCCTCTCTCGTAACTGACGTTTCTGGAACAGGAATAAAAAGTATGTTATTACATTCCATTTAAAATACCGTGTGAAAAACACTGATAAGGTCTCAGTAAGTATTCCAAAGTATAATTATGTTTACCTAAATTGTCTTTAGTTATAAAGGAATTACGCAAGTGTGTTATTTATTGCGTAACCAACAAAGCCGCGACAGATCAACCTTTAAATCACCTGAATGCTACTGTGTCTTTCCTGTACAGATAGACCGTTGACATTCTCTTGTTTGTTCCTCACTATAAAACCTGAACGAAGGCAGCGCACTTGTAAGTCTATTGCGAGCGACATGTGCAAGAGGGGTGGAATGCACCCCTCGCTGAACATGCAACTGATTATAAAAGGGTCGACAGGCTTTAGGACTGTATGCGACTTTTTCCAAGATAGGGCCGCAATGCAGCAAAAGAAAAATAGTGAAATGATTTGACGAGGAGAAGGTTGATGACAAATTTTTGTTGACAGCTTAACCTGACTAAATCAGTAGAAATGATTTGAATATACACTAGAGTGACGCTATTTAATACAAACATGTCAGCTTTGGGTGAATTATCGGTTTAGATTTGTAGAGCAAAGCAAAACACTCATGAAGCTATCCAATTTGTGTTTTTTTTTCCGCTACTGTTAAAAAAGACCTAGAACCTTAATTGATAAAAAATAAAATGTAGTGAGCATTTAACTTAACAATACTCAATCACAATAGACATTATTTTCAATTAATGAAGTAACGAATGTGTTTTAAACTGTTATGAAACGCGACAGACATGTTTAAACACGAGAAAATCTTTTTCGTCATACCTTGTGTTATCCGCGTCATCGGGTCAGACTTGTCACCAGGGCATGGCCAAATCCCAATAATCTGCGTAAGCACGCACAGAATAGAGACACGTCCACATTTTTACAACTTCCTTGAAATGTTTTCCTAGAAAACAACGTAACGACAAAGAAATCCGTCCTTGCATTTACCAATTTATACAAGAATGCGTTCTTTTTTCCTTAAGGTTAAATTTTACGATTTTTCTTATAGAAATATTTTGTGTACGAAATTACGCTGTTTAAGTTACATTCAAAGACAATTTTCGTCCCTTCTTTTCGAGGATAGTCTTACATTCAGGGATATGGAGTCATTTAAGATTCTTGGTTTACGTTGAATCCAACCGTTGTCCCTCTCCCAGACCCCCAACTGCCATCCTTGCCTCCTTACCAGCTAAGTTTGCATTTGACATGTCTTTCGGTTGCGAGGACTTTGGAAGCTAGGAAGTAAATTTCTCGAACCATGGTAAAAAATGGCCTTAAGGTTTGGGCGACCATGCTAAAACCGTAGTGCTCGATAAGTGGCGGATTATGTATGTACCGCCAGGCAATTGCTTCAAATTCTACCTTTTCACAGCTTTTTCTTAGCGTCAAGTGACTTGCACGTCACTCGAACTTTTCGTAAATGGCCTTCAGACCACAGCGATCGATTACAAGAATGCAGAGTTTCCTGCACACAGAGGTTGCTTCTTCTAAGAAATTTACGTTTAAGTGAAAAAGCCTTACTCTCCTCGTTCGAAATAAATACACACTTCCCAAGAAGACAAATACTCTTCAGATTATATTTTACAACTTATGAAGTTCGAAATGTTGCAACTGTATTGCGCAAAATTCTAATTTCTTTGTGCATTATAATTTGATGACGTAACAGATATAATTGTTAAGATTTTCTATCGCTAGACAGTGTTATGGACACCTAGAACCAATGGGTAAATATTTATCTTGATTTCTTTTGATATTATCGATATGAACTGAAACTAATTTGTTAACGCATTACTTTACAGATTTCGAATCTCCGATCCATATCCATGGTTTTTGTCATAACCTTCATCCGTTATTTATTGTAATAAAATATCGAGGTTTGGAACCTTTGGTATATTAATGTCCTAACACACCGTCACAGCAACGAAGAACATTTACAGTGGGGAGATGGTCGGGAATGCGACGTTTTTAGGAGAGAGTAGCCATGCTTGAAGATTTCAACAGGCACCAGCTAATAGCGGCAGTAAAGTTAGAGAAACACCTCCTGTTTTGCTTTTGAATCGACGTGTCTTCCCTGGAGGGATCATGACTTCCATAAGTTCTTTAACCGTCCTTAGGTCAGCCCTTACAAGAAAAGTAACTTTTCTACCTGCTTAACAGTTTCTTGACCGCTGGTTTATGAGTATCAGCGATAACGCAAAGTGTGGTAAATCAGAGGCGTGCTGATGCAAAACAAGAAGCCTATGGATTTATTGAAGGTCCTTGATTTTTTTATTATTACAGACACCGAGTTGTTAAATTGCACTTTTTAAACTTTTGAAGTTGTTATCATCTGAGACCTCGGTTCGAATTTTTTTAAAATGATATGTGTCATCAAATGAGTTCAATTACTACGTGAAACATCTTTCTTTCATATTTTCGTATGAGGAGGTAAATCAGTATCTGGTAAGCCACAGCTTCAAAAGTTTGCATTCTTGTCAAACCAGTTTTGCGTCACCTTCAGTTTTACTTCGCAACACGTGCAGCATACATTTCTTTTGTTCAGTCTTCCGTAAAATTGCTTCAATCCTCTTGTGAAACTTCAAAGTCGGCAGCTTATGCCAATGCTATCTAGCACTATAACCTCCAGAGGATCTTCTGATCATTTAAAAGCGTTACTTTGTTCGGATAACCTCCTTTAGTTCTCTTTTGAAATAGATTGTGTTAAAGTTAGCTGTGGTCCTATTCGGTACGCTGAGTAGCATTCTATGATTGGTTCTAATTTTTCGAACGCCTTTGGCGTCGCTTAAGATTGATGCAGTGTCTTATGATATAACGCCCGACAAAGATACGTCTCTTGTGTTTCAAAAATGGGAAACCTTATGCGTCAATCAATTCGAAGAAACTTCAATCCCCCCCCCCCTCCCCCGACACCCCTTCTAGCATTTGAATTTCTGAGGATTGGTTTGTTCAAATTCTCGTACCCCTGGGCAAAAATTGTGTTCCAACGCCCGCCAAATTTTTTTTGTAAAAGGCAGAATTAGCGACCGTTACTTTCTAAACATTTACCAAGCTTTACAACGTAGACCTTTTCATCTCAGCCATTTGCTCGAAAAAGTGAAGTATTTACCTCAAACACCCCATTATCTAAAGAGAAATGACGTTTATTCCGTGACTTTTTAGTCCGTAGTCCGTGGGGGGGAGGGGGGGAGAGAGCACATTACCTTGATCTTCAACCTGTAAAATGGGTTCAAACTCCTCTTTACTTGTTATCAAGATAAGTAAGTAAGGCTTAAAAGAGGTTAAAGGGGGTAAGTTTCTAAAGAAACTATGGAGCTGCGTCGTTGGGAGAGTATAACAGGGTAATTTGGCATTATCACCTGAACTGATATATTGTAAATTGGCCAGCGTAAAATGTTTCCAAGCTGACGTTTCGAGCGATAGTTCTTCGTCAGAGCGAATGGAGGAATTAACACACATACGACCACAACTTTTCCATTCGTTCTGACAAGGGACTATCGCTCGAAACGTCAGCTTTGAAACTCTTAACGGTGGCAAATTTTACGATATGTCAGTTCAGGTGATAATACTAAATTACCCTGTTATACTCTCCCACCGAAACTCTTAACGGTGGCAAATTTTCGTTATCAACTCAGCTGATAAAACTAAATTACGCTTTTAAAAAAGATTACTTCGTTTTATTAGGCCATTTAAGGACACTTGACCCAAGGTTGGCTGGAAATCACTGTCAAAATCGGCTGTCGAAATTATTTCCCGCAAGTTTGTGAGAACATTTTTTTATATTAATTACCTTTATCTACATATCAACATTCTTCCGTTTATTCTTGGCGGACATTAGATCGGACATAAGATCGGGTAAAGATCATGCAAAACATGTTTAGTAACACCGGTTTTGACTTAATAAAAATCAGCAATAGAAACTGAAAGACTGACTTTATAAAGGGTTCAAGTAACCAAACTGAAGTCGACAAACATCAGTTTAATCGGCTTTTATCAAGAAAGACATTTCAAACCGTGTTTGGCAATATAGCTTGAAAACGTGTTTTAGCTCTGGTGTGAATGAAGTATTTTAAAAGTTGTAATCCATGCTTTGAATTTATGACTAGACATTTCTAAATTTATGTATCACATGACAAAAGGAAATTAACACCCCATATTGATGCTGAAAGCCTCGTAATATTTTATTGTTATTTTATTTTTTCTTAATGGTCACTTTTTAGGACAATGAAAAAGTTTTGAATTTGAGAGCAATATTCAAACAGGAAAAAAGCTGAATATTGATAGATTAAAAGGTTATTTTTTTGTTTAGATTATTGTTATTTTTATTTGAACAATGGAGGTGCTCTAATTTACGTTCAACGGTCGCGTGAACAGGAAATATTAATTAATATTACCAAATTTCAGCGTTGAAACGTTAGTTGTAATACGTTATATGTCAAGAAAATGTCTCATATCAGTTCACTTTTAGGCTTTTTTTTTCTACACAATGACTTTTAGTGAGCTTAATGACATCATATGGCGAAAGCAAGAAATGGGAGATGACGTGGTAAATAAATATTGAGCCGTGTCTTCCTTGATATTGCTGGAAATTTAAGTTGATTCGAGTCTTCTACTTATTTGCCTGAGTGCCCACCCCAAAATGCATCAATATAAAATCGCTAATATTCACTCGAATATACTCGTTCGGAGTTAAATGTGACATATAACCCTGCGACAACATAATTCCTTGTAACGTGTTTGAGGCGAATGAAATAAAATGTTATTCTAGATAAACCTCAGACTCTAATAT